CCTAAACCCTAACCCCTAAACCCGGAGCCGGATGAGAGCATTTATATGCAATTGCCGGCGAAGGGGCAGTGGTACAAGCTGTTGCAGAAACTTCAGGCCCAACTGGAAGACCAGCCCAAGGCCACGAGGATGAGGAATGTCAAGTATCTGGTGAGTTGGTTGGATCACCGGAACACCAACACAAGGGAGGGGTTTTGGCTTGGCCATTGTGGCGGGGATGCCTCAGATCTACTGGCACTGCTTGCTGCTTACATGGATTATAGGGTTGGATTGAGCTTGGCAGGCTACCTGCCGGTGCAACCAGGATCGCGCCTGGCGATGGGGCTCCCACCACTTTTGGAGCCGCCCATTATGAACTTCCTTGTTCCGATACCTGATGAGCTCCTCAACGATGGCGACATTCCGGGGAATCCTGATGAGGTGGATACTCTGCCGCTGCCGGGGCAGTGTGTCGAAGCTCCGGCTACGTTGGAGGATTTGTTGGAAACCGAGGAGGAGGAAAGACAATGGCGACAGTTGCAGGAAACTCGATGGGCCCATGAGGAGCAACTAGAGGACGAGAGAGTTGCTCGCGACACAGCTTACCTCCAGACTCTAGCGCCCTCTGACAGAGGCTGCAAGCGAGGGAGGGAGATGATGGTGGTGGAAATGTCGTCCGGTTCCTCCGAGAGACCTCGAGTGGCAAGGTGCATCCGAGTACCGGTCGAACAAGGGGTTGCTTCGCTCAGCCTTCGTATTTGGAGGGACGATGAGGAAAGCCAAGAGGATGTGGAAACAGTCCCTTTCGATGCGATGGGGGCAGGGGGCATGTCTTTGGCCCGCGAGCTCACCGCGGCACCTGAGGGACCAGCTGAGGTGGAGGACAGCCCACCTGCTGACTCTGTGGGGGTGGAGGGAGGCCTGTCGGATCCTGCCTTTGCTGAGTATGCCTTGATCTATGTACAGTGGGCTGAGAGCGAACTTACCGATGCCCAGGTGGTGCAAAGATACGGTCGTCATACTCTGGACCTCATGCAGAATCAGTGGGCGGTAGAGGGGGACACCCAGCTTGAAGGGCAGAGGGCTATGCTTCTGGCAGGGGTAGTGGGCCCAGGGGTCTCTTTGCCACCCAGTACAGAGGAGATGATGGGACTTCCGTACAACCGACCTGAGGAAGAGATCAGGGCAGGGGATTGCGATGAGGGTCATTGAAGATGAGCTTGACATGAGTGCGCATGGCCTCCGGCTGCAGGGTTGTGATCCAGCGAGAAGTGGTGTTTTTCTTTGCTTTCTGGTGCGCTTGCAACATGCGAGCAGCCCACCCCTGGTCGTATCGGCCTTACTGAGTCTTGGAGCAAGGCGATGGTAAAAAGGGGCTCAAAAAAAAAAACCCTAAACCCTAACCCCTAAACCCCTAAACCCGAAGCACCCTATAAGCCCCAAAAGCCGAACCTCGGAAGGTGGGCTCGGGCGACGTGCCGCCGACCCAAGCCTCGGAGCTTCTTCGTCCCCACAGAAGCGAGGCGAGCTCTTAGGGTTTAGGGTTTGGGGTTTTCGGATTTTGGTGTTTTCGGGTTTCGGGTTTAGGGTTTTGAGGGTTTTGGGTTTTTGGGGCTTAGGGTTTTAGGGTTTTGGGTTTAGGGTTTGGGGGGTTTAGGGTTTTAGGGTTTGGGGTTTAGGGTTTGAGGGTTTAGGGTTTGGAGTTTTAGGGGGGTTTAGGGTGTAGGGTTTAGGGAGAGTTGGAAGGGGGTTAAGGCTTAGGGGATTTTTGGGTGTGGCGTTGAGGGATCCTAAACCCTAAACCCGGGGGATTAAGGATGTAGGGTCTTTAGGGTGCAGGGGTGAGGGGTTTAGTTTAAGGCTTAAGGCTTGGGGGCTTTGGGGCTTAAAGTTTGGGTGGTGTAAGGTCTAGCGATGACTGAGGTTTTGGGATTTGGGGATGTACGGTAAAATTTAGATTTTTGGATTTAGTCCCTAGCGTTTGGGATTTAGGGCTTCCTGGATTCCCCCGCCCTTTCAACCGCAAACACCCCAAAGCCAGAAGCTATAAACAATGTCGTAAACCCCTGAGCCCGGACACTGTAAGATTCTAAACCTTTAGAAAGCCACCGAAGCTTCAACAACAAAAGCGCGAGTCTCTGATAGAACCCCTATAGGCCCCTTAAACAGGGTTTAGCGCCCAGGGTTCATAGAGTCATAGGATTTAGAGATTACAGGTTTGGGGCACAGGATTTACGGTTTAGGGTGTAACGCAGCCTGGCCCTTCCCACTGCCACTCCCCGGTATCGGAGCCCTGAACACCTAGTACTTCAGACCAGATACCTTTTTTTCAATTGAAGTTTAGGGTTTAGGGTTTTCTTACATTTCACAAACTAGCTACTTACTCAATCCCCCGAACCCTAAACCCTAAAACCTAAACCCTAAGCCCTAAACCCTAAACCCTAGACAATTTCTTACTATATAATTTAAACCCTAATAGGTTTCGTGGTTTAAGGTCCATCTCGGACCTTAATCCACGAACCGGCTCAGGGTTTATAAACCCTGATCCCCTTCGTGGTTTAAGGTCCATGGACCTTAAACCACGAACCGGCTCAGGGTTTAGGAGCCCCTAATGGTTGACCCACTTCGTGGTTGGGCTGTGGGCTGGCTTCAGGTTTGCTCTGGGGTTTCTAGGGTTTAGGGCCTATATTAAAATAGTGTAGACGACAACATGAAGTCATGTAAGCTGAACATAGTCCAACTGTAAATGGAACTCCTTGGTGTAAAAGAACGAACTTTTTATTTTACAATGTTATGGGATTCAGGGGTGGGTGGGTGTTATGTCTAAACCGTGATTTAACTCTACTATAACACTGCTCGATCCGGAGCTGCTGAACCCTAAGCCCTCAACCCTAAACCCTCGACACTAAAACCCTAAAACCCTAAACCCTAAAACCCTAAGCCCGAAACCCTAAGCCCTAAACCCAAGCCGGGTATCGGCCAGGACCTGCCCCAGCTGCGGCCGCCCAAGGCGCCAGCCCAGGGTCTCTGGCTGGAGCGGGTCGCAGCTTCGTCTGCCAGAGGTGTGCTTAGGGTTTAGGGTTAGGGTTTAGGGTTTAGGGTTTAGGGTTTAGGGTTTAGGGTTTAGGGTTTGGTTTGGGGCTTAGAGGGACTTAGGGGGGACCCCAAGCCCTAAACCCTGGGGGGTTTAGGATTTCGGGGTTTAGGGTTTAGGATTTTAGGGGTGTTCGTGAGTTCTTGCTTAGGGTTCATTCTGGGTTCGAGGGGAAGGCTCAAGTCTCGAATGGAAGTTGAAGGTTTTAGGTGTATGAGCCCTCAAGAAGTCTCCGTCTTGGAGTTTCTGACGATTCTTGGAGGTGCGGAAATTTCCGGCCAAGCTTCCGAGGCAAGATTTATCCCTTTCTGGATGATCCTCGGGAGTCTAGTCGTCCGGCTTATGAACCCTAAACCCTCAACCTTAAAACCCTAAACCCTAAACCCTAATGTTCCATAACAAACCCTATATGTTCGGGTTCCCTGTTTCTGAAATTCTGAGGGACTCAACTTCAACACTAACTCCGCCCCCCCCGAACCCGACCCCTGCAGTTCTCGATTTAAGCCCCAAACCCTCAAATTCGAACCTGAGAGCTGATTTAGGGTCTATAAGGGTCTATAGGGTTTACCTGTAACCGAAAAGACCTACCTTTTTTTGGGACCTAGATCTAGAAACCAGAATAAGGAGCCCCAAAAAGGTAGGTCTTTCCGGCTACAGGTAGGGCTTAGGGCAGAAATGTTGCAAGCCAGCCCAGGATCTGGAGGATGCTGAGCCCGATGCACTTTCTGAGGAGAATGCCAGACAAGAAAAAAAAGTGCTTCGGGCAGTTGGGTCGGGGAGCTTTAGGGGTGTCTCGGTCCGGAGTGTCGGATTTTCGGGTTTAGGGCTTTGGGACTTTCGGATCTGGAGCTTTGTGACTTTGGGTTTAGGGTTTAGGGTCATGGATGCTCGCTGGTGTGTGCACACCCAGGCCGCTCGCACCTGTGCGTCGCAGACAGCCCACCCCAAGCCCACTCTGACTTCAAGCATTTTAGGGTTGACTTCTAACGGCATCTAGGCATCCCAGCGGGGGCTTTGGTGTCGCTATCTTCAACACGGCCCAGTCAGAATCGAAAACAGCACTGCATGTCAGCTTTCTGTGAGTCTGCTTCTGGGCTGGGCTTTCTGTGAGGCTGTGCTGCCGGGTCCGAATGTGGGCTTCCTGTGAGGCTGTCCGGGCAGCGCCGGGCTTTCTGTGAGGCTGTGCTGGCGGGAGTGGGCTGTCTGTAAGGCTATCCTGGCTGGTGCCGGAAGAAGAATCGTCGAAATGGGGGAACCCTGAGATCGGCCGCCTCCAACTCGTGAGGGTTGGCGGAGTGCAACCCTTGTCAAGGGGGTTGTGAACGGTCGGGGGCCCTTGTCAAGAGGGTAGGCTGCTCCAACTCGTCAAGGGTCGGGGGGTCAACCCAGGGGCCGGCTCCAGCTCGTGAAAGGTTGAGAGCAGGTCCCTGAGGTTTAGGGTCTCTACCTTTACCACTTGTGGGAGGTGCCCGAGGGGCCGGCANNTGCCAGTCGCCTAGCTTTACCTAGGCTCCCGCATACGCGCTTGCTCGCGAAGCTCGGGCCGCTTCGGGCTCCGCAGTGGCGGTTGTCGAGCCTTCAGCGAAACTTTTGGGTTTGGAGTAGATCTGACGACGCTGCAGGTTTTCGGGCTGTTAAGACCCGGCGTTCGCAGCTGGGCGATTTGGGTTTCACTTGCACACCTCTTGTCCAAAATTCCTTGCCACAAGAGCTTAGGGTTTAGCTCCTGGGGCGGGCTTCATGGTACGTTGCAGTCTCCTGTACTGTGACAGACCATTACTGTAGTTCTTTTTCATCCATGACTGTGCTTTTTCTACTCAAGGTTAGCGCGATACTCCATCCTGCAAAATTGTGGCACATAAATTCCGTTTGAGGTAGGAGGTGTTACTATAATCAGGGTTTGGGTTGCATTCTTCCAAAATCCATCCGAGACTCAAGAGCCTACAGCACTTAAAGTTTCAGGCCAGTAGTCACCTGCTGTAAGTAGGGTCATAAGCACCCTACTCTCAGCTGTCCTTTACAACACGAACGCTATTCATGATTATTTACCTAGTTACCAAGAGCTCGGAGTCTCCGAGGGCATTTCTCGGCAACAAAAACAGCCAAACCCTAAACCCCTATAAACCCTAAACCCTCAACCCTAACCCCGACACCCTAAACCCTAAAGCACCCCATGCTACTTCACGTGTGCCTGTTTCAAGGACCTGACCCTAAGGCTCCACGTTCCCATCTAGTATAATGGTTAGGTTTTATAAGGTTTAGGGTTTAGGGGTTTAGGGTTTAGGGGCTTGGTTTAGGGCAGGGGTTCTTACATAGCTGCACTAAGGCCTAAGTACACACTACATTGCTACATGGAGCCTGGGGGTGAAAGAACATAATTATCCGAAGCTTCTGCAAAGTACTGAGGTCGTTGGAAAGCTCGGATTCATTTGTCCAGGGCTCGGACTGTTCTGCCCCGGGTTTGAGAAGTAAAGGTCCGTTACCTGTACTACTTTAAGAGCTTGGGCCTCGAAGTGGTTTCTAGAAGTAGTAACTTTAGGGCCAATGCATGGGCCACATGGCCCTTGGGGTTAGGTTTTGTTAGCTCGCAGTTTTCAGGGCTTTGGACTTTCAGTGTGTAGTGCCGAGCTATTTGGAGGCCCAGAAGGCTTAGCAAGTAGGTTGTAAGTGAGGTTATCAATAAGTACAACTCTAATTGCGGTAAAATGTATCCCAGCAACCCTAAACTCAAAACTCGAGCTTGGGAAGTTTAGAGACGTAGAGAGATGAAGTGGGTATGGGGTTCACGTGGTTTTGGGTTAATAGAACGCTGCTTGATCTTGATCAGACATGATGCATTCATTGCATGATGGCAGGCTTGGTTTGTCGCGCAAGATCCTGCCGCATTACTTCTTTCGATGTTCCTGTGACGAAGCAGCTGCCTAGCTGTTGCCCAGAAGTGCACAGGAAGTCAGTCGTGCTTCAGTCCACGAATGTTTGGATTACAGTGATTACAGTCAAAGCATGTCAAAGCCCCAATCCCCAAAGTGTAGTTTATGTCTTCCTTTAGTTTATGTCTTCCTTTACTTGGGAGAAGGTCCCAGGCTGTAGATTTGCATAGTTCGAAGGCGTCTGTTCTCTCAAAGTCCCCCGCCTTAGCAGCCACCCTTGCTGAAGAATAGGTTCAAGGACACGAGTCTTTGGAGCAGGGACATGAGCATAGTTGGAAGGTGGCGGACTTTGCAAATTGAAGCGCCGAATCCTCTGCCCGCCTCTCCAGCTAGACCAAACCCTAGGCGCACACAGGCTTCTGATCTGCGAGAGGTCCTGAACACAGACCTTGTCCACCCGAAAACCCTTAAGAGTCCTGCAACTGCCCAACCTGAAACATTCAGATTCCAGGTGTCCTGGGGTTTCTGTACGTTCCAGACTATGGTGCGAACGAAGACACTTGCAGCCGCCGTTTGGACTACTGGTTCTTTGGCACCTTGGGCTGACAAGTAGCAGGCCACTCAGGGGGGCCTTAATAATTCGTAGGACACGGCATTGGAGTATATCATATTTTAGTAGAAACCAATAAGGTCCGGTTCAAACGTTCCCAGTGTTCGGCTTCGGGGTGGGTTTTGAGAAGGTTCTGCATCCTAGAAAACAGCAAGGGGCAAAGGTTCAGAAATGCTTGAGGTTCTGGCTCGTGTAGGCTTCGGGCGAAAACTTGAACCAAAAGATATGAAAGAGTGCAGTGCTTGCGGACCGGCCCTTCTGCGAACCCCGAAACTCAAGCACGTGCTGCACAGCCTTAACCACCTAAGCCCAAAAGCAAGTACGTGCAGTTGTCGAGGTAACTGGTCCTTCAGCTGTGGCGACCCCAGACTTTTTCTCTGGAGCAGACGGGTTTAGGGTCGTATCTTCCTTGTCGTGGATGATGTGGGTGGGGATCTCAACTTGCGGATTGAAAGCACGAGGGTCAGGGTCCATGGGCATCTCTTCAACATAGAATCAGGAGCCTGAAGAATAAATTACAGTGACGGTCTCTATACGTGTAGAAACTTACACGGCCTAACATGTACGTGCAACCTTGAAGGTACGGTGCAGAGACGGCATATTCCAGGGCGGTGCTGCAAGAAGTTCGGAACAAGACTGTGTCGCCTGAATAAGCTGGAGTTAAAGGGTCTTTTCCAGGACCCATCACAGGCTCTACGCATGTCAGCTGCATCACGACATCTTTAATGACAATAGCAATAACAAACAATACATATAGGAGTAATAGCAACAATCAGTAGTGATAGTAACAGCAGCAGCAGCAGCAGCAGCAGCAGCAGCAGCAGTAGGAGTAGGAGTAGGAGTAGGCGTAGGCGTAGGCGTAGGCGTGGGCGTGGGCGTCGGCGTAGGCGTAGGCGTAGGAGTAGGAGTAGGAGTAACAGCAACAATGGCAATAACAATAGTGACAATAACAGTACGAATACTTCAATGGCAACAGCAACAACACTGTCAATAACCAGAGTAAGAATACGAATAATACTAATATCAAGAATCAGAACAGGACCAATACTTCTAATAGCAATAATAATATCACTAGGATACAACATTACAACTAATATTCATAACCATAATATTAAACATGCTGATAATGACAACAGCAATGGCTAATATTAAGACTAGTAATTATTAGTGCCAATACCTGCACCAGCATCCCCCTGGTCCTGGAATGCATGGTCACAGATAGCTTGGGATACGAGAGAGATCCTCGGGAAGCAGCCTCCGCAAGCGTCATACTTAGGGAACGAGCCCAGACCCCACCCAAAAAACCTACAGCCCTCAGCCCCAAGCCGAAAATTAACCTACAGCCCCCAGCCCCAAGCCGAAAAATCTGGACCCTAACGCCTGAATCCTAACCCGAAAGAGCTCCCAGCCCACAACCTGCAGACCTTAACCCCTTCCCCCCCGTCCCGAAACCCTAAATCCTAAACCCTAAACCCTAAGCCCTAAGCCCTAAACATCCCTAAACCCTAAACCTCAAACCCTAAACCCCAAACCCTAAACCCCAGACCCTAAACCGTCCTAAACGTCCCAAAGCCTCGACCTCAAGACCTGAAGCTCATCCTGGGCCCGAGCCTCCTAGGTAGTATTAAGGGGACTCCTTCAAGGCGACCCCTTCTTAACCCTACTTATGGCTCTCTTCATAGGGACCTTTTTGAGAGGGTCTATGTCCCCAAGGGTCCCCCTAATCCTAACTCCCAGAGGCCTGAAGGCCAACTTGCCCCGGAACTTGCGGATTCGCCTCTTTTCGTCGGCCGTGCGGGGGCTCGGGCGCCCAGTGGGCAATTTTTGCTTCGGATTTAGGGGTTTAGGGTTCTTAGGGTTTTTAGGGCTTTAGGGTGTTTAGGGCTTTAGGGGTTTAGGGTTTTTAGGAGTTTAGGGTTTTTAGGGTTTTTAGGGCTGTAGGGGTTTAGGGTTTAGGAGGTTAGGAGGTTAGGATCTGAGGGCGTAAGGCTTCAAGGGTTTGGGTTTAGGCTCGGGCCTTGAGGTACTGTATAAGGGCTCAATTCGAGTTCGATTGATCGTGAGCTTTTGTGTTTTTTGGGTGGATCGAGGCTGACGCCTATCCCTAAGCCATGTAAACCCTAAATCCAGAGTTTCTTTGTACACGCGTGGAGTGGCGCCCGAGTTTTTCGACTTCACGACTTTAAGCGTTAGGCCGTCGCTAGACCCTGACTTGTGATTACATCCCTGCTCTCTTACGGGTATCCTTTCAAAGGTTACTCTACGGCCTGCTTTCCGGGTTCCTCTACGGCATCGTTTGTTATGGATCCTAGCCCTAGCCATAAACCAATTGAGGGTCGATCGAAATAGGGTGTCCCTAAGGGCCCATGTGCCCAAATAGTATATACCTTGGCCTTAAAGTAGTCCCTATATGAGTAGTTGTCTAAATTAGGTTTGGGGCCGAAGGATCTACCACATGGGCACATGGACCCTTGGGGTTTAGGATCCTCCGATCTGCAGTGTGTTCTGTGTTGACTGAGTTATCCATACCCCGATGGGTTTAGGATTTTGGGTTTAGGGTTTAGGGACGATGCCTTGTTGTTGGGGTCCCCTTAGCAACGTTGAATAACGGAGAAAACATCACTTTCTGTGCATAGAAACTGCGTAAAAAAATAAAACCTTGCAGCAATCCTTAACGCCAAAAAACCGCGTCGGGACCTTCGTCTTGATCAGCCACAGAGGGGTCACCTGCATTGCTTGCCCCATAAGGTGTTTGAGCTCCACGCCGAATCCCCCGAAATCCTTAAGCCATAACCATCCTTAACCCAAAAAGTCCCTCCTTAAGCCTTAAGCATCCTTAACCCAAAAAGTCCCTAAACCCTAAACCCTTAACCCAAAAAGTCCCTTGTAAGAGCTCCCCAAAGCCTCATGCCCAACCTAAGCTTGGGGTTTAAGGATTGGGTCACGCTTTCCGGGTTTGCTAAGGCGTTCGAAGGGACCGAAGGGATAGTTCTGGGTTCAGGGTTTCTCTTCAAAGGACCAAACTACTGTTGATGACATAAATCCTGCAGTACCTTAAGGACCCTAAGCTATGGGAATTATGGTAAATTCCTTATTATGAGTGATGCAGGATTTATATCATCAACCATAGGTCTAGGTTCTAAGTTATAAGCAGTCGACTAGTTGGAGTCTAGGGAAATAGGGATTAAGGTTCGGAGGGCTTGGGGTTTGGAAGGCTTGGGGTTTTGGGTTTCAGACAGTTTAAGGTTCAGGGTTTGGGGCTTAGGGTTTAGGGTTCAGGGTTTGGGGTTTAGGGTTTAGGGTTAGGGTTGTCGCCAGGCCCTTCCTGATCTCGGGCTTGCTGGGCATTTGGAAGACCACGTTTCTCCCGAGACTTGGCTCCGATAGCTCGGGGAAGAAGCTGCAAATACGGTTTCAGCGTAAACCCTAAATCTTACCCCATAAACCACAAAAGCCCTAAAACCCTAATCCCCAAAAAGCCCTAAAGCCTAAGCTTTGTGATGGAACCCTCTAGTACCCTTTAAGGGAGCCCTGAAGAGCCTGAGATGTGCTTGTTGAAGAGTTTGAGGGCAACGTGGTTTAACTATGGGTGGCTTTGGGAAAGAGTGTCTTGACTGTTACTGTATAGTTCATGCTTTGACGGTTTAGGGCTTTTGGGTTGGACCCTGAACCTCAACCCAGGATTCTGGTGGAGCGTCTCCGAGCCATCGAAACCCGAGCCGCCGGCATTTGCCGGTGCCTCGTGAGGTGGGATGTTTGCACTCGGGATTCTTAGGCCTCATTGAATGTGAGCTTTGTGTTTAGGGTTTAGAGTTTAGGGTTTAGAGTTTAGGGTTCAGGGTCCAGAATTTAGGGCTTAGGGTTCAGGGTTNNGTTTAGAGTTTATGGTTTAGGGTTTCCGGCTGCTTTGGGAGCTACCAGCTGAGACCGAAGATGCGCAGTCGGGCTCCAGAGCAAGCTTAGAGCCAACAATGAAATGCGAGTTTCCGAAAATGGGGGGTAC